ACGATGTACGATGATAGCGGGCAGAAAGTGCAGGTAAGCTTCGTTATCTAAACACGCTTAAGAAGATGCAAAGAAGTCGGTATCGGTTACTGATTCAGGCTCCAGGGTAAAATGGTGTATAAGGTCGCGGAACAGACCAATTTCCAACCCCCCCGCCGCGGCGGTGCCCATAATAACGGGGCTCTGCTGATCGAGTTGGAGCGGTATAACTCCCAGCGGTCAAAAGCCTGAGAGAAACTTCTGGCCACCGAGGGACTCTGTAGAGGCCTGTAAGTAAGAACAGGTGCCCAGATAGGACCAAATGGAAGAGGAGTTGCAGGCCCCTTGTGCGCCGCTCTGCGCTGCAGCGATCACTGCCACACCAAGCGGTCACGCCAGTGTAGCATGGAGTGTCAGTGTCGTCGCCAGCAAAACCGATCATTAAGCTGCCAAGAACCCTGAAATGCACCATAGAAAAGATGGGCATAGTCCTAAACGGCCTTACGGCGCCAATCAACGGACAACGCCACATTAACGGGCTGATACGAGATGAACTCGAGTAGGCAGGAAATCTGCAAAAGCTCGTAAGCTCTTCGCACCTGATACAAAGTGCGACGAGGGCTAAACGATGCCTTCACTAGCTAGACGTGGTGAAACGAACGTGATAAGAAGTGCATGACGCAGTTAAAGATGCCCTAAAAGATGCCCTGTCGATTGAAGCGATCAAATCTCTGCGACCAGCATTTGGCCAGGAAAGGCCACTATAACTCTCCCAGTGCCAGAAACCAGGACCCCAGTCGAGATGGCTAGCGTGAGGATTGAATAGTGGTCTGCCGAATACGTGCAATCGACCAATCAAAGCCGTGCATTAAATGCAAGGGCTTTGGGCACATCGCTGCGAACTGCACCAGCGGAGAGGACTTAAAAGCGAGGAATTGCTTCAAGCCACCTAAATGCAGCCTTTGCTGTCGAAAAGGCGAAAAGTCAACGGATCACGCTACAGGCAGCTTTAAGTGTCCGGCGTGCCGCGAGGCAGTACGCAAACTGAAATGTTAAGGTTACTTCAATTAAACATTAACGACTGCATAGCTGCTCGAGCCCTCTTAGAGCAGACTGTTGGCGAAATGCGCATCGATATTGCCATTATTAGTGAACCTCACCACTGAGAGACCAACTGCAGAATATTGACCGAGGATCAGGATGGAAAAGCTGCGCTCTGCACAAAGTCCTTTACTGTGTTTGTACGCGCACATTATGGCAGCCTGTAGACGTACAGCTGCTACCTGGCCTCAAATATGCAGCTTAGCGAGTTTCAAGCTGCACTAGACGCATTAGTAGATGACGCAAGGGGGCGAAAGGTCATAATTGCTGGTGACTTCAATGCTGGAATGGGGCAGTGGAATGGGGCAGCCAAGCAACTAACGCAAGAGGTCGTGCCCTGTTGGAAAGCTCCGCAGCCCTGGATATAGCTCTGTGAAACTCCGGCTCGGACAACACCTTTAGTCGGGGTGGTATCGGAACAATAATCGATCTCACCTTCGCAAGCTCGTCACTTTTCGGCGCTGCAAAATGGGAAATAAGCGACGTATACACCGCAAGCGATCACTCTCCAATTATATGTGCGATCGGCGAGGGACCTGCGGCCAGAACGAGAAGCCTAAGTCGAAAAGCTTACCGCTGGGATACTTTTGACCCCGTGGCCTTGTCGAACGAAGTCCAATCGCTTGTCACAGCCGTTAACGCAGAGAGTAGAGCCTGCCAAATGGCATGCCAATTAACGAGTGCTTGCCACGAGTACTCACGTACTGGTGGAACAAAAATATTGTCGCAGCACGGCGGAACTGCATCCAAGCCAGAAGGAGATACCAGCGAGCCCGAAGTAGACCCCACTATTCCGAGGAACAATTTGGGTATCAGAGGGCCAGAAAACTGCTAAAGAAGGCCATACGAGATAGCAAGCGAGAATGCTTCCTGGGGCAATGAGACTCAGCCGAATATGATCCTTGGGGCAAGACGTGTAAAACTGTCGTCAAAAGACTGTTCGCCGGCAAGCAAACGCAGCCTTCTGACCCAAGTGAGCTGAATTTGAGCCGGTGCCGGTGCTAATCGACGAAGTCTCAGTCGATGAGGTGCCCACGATTGCCAGAATCCTAAAGCCCAGTAAGGTGCCGGGACCGGATGTAATTCCCAATGGAGCGCTGAAGCTAGCCATGTCCTTGCACCCTGCGCAGTTCGTGCAGCTTTTTTACATGTGCCTTCGTCGGAAAGGAACTGAAGGACGTAGAAGAATCGTGCAACCACATCATTGACCGCGTACATCAATGGCTGGCAGCAGCTGGACTCGAGGTGGCTGCTCATAAAACAGAAGCGGTGTTAGTCATTAGCAGGAAAAATGTGGAAACAGCGCACATAAAAGTCGGCAGCGCTGTAATAGAATCAGCGAGGGCGCTAAAGTACCTGGGCGTCCTGCTGGACACAAGGATGTCGTTCAGAGAGTACTTGGAGTATGTGCACAAAAAAGCTGCAGAATCCTGTCGAGCGCTATCCAGGATTATGCTTAACACACGGGGACCGAAACAGCATAGAGCGGTAATAATGTACGCGTCCCCCATCTGGAGCAGAGCATTGGCTGTTCCTAGCTACAACCGAGGCGTAAACACTATATATCGCCTAAGCGCTCTACGGGTCAGCTGCGCCTTCCGGACGGTATCAGACGAGGCGGCTCTGGTTATCGCAGGGATGGTCCCGCTCAATGAACTGGCAACTGAAGCTGTAGTTTGCTATAAGCTCACAATGGAAACAGCACAGTAAACTCGATTCGCACTGAGGCAAGGATGCAGAGCATAGCACGATGGTAATCACGCTGGGATCGCGCATCTAAAAGACGCTGGACGCATAAGTATGTAAGTATGGGAATACTAACTTCTATTTAACGCAGCTCCTATCTGGCCATGGATGCTTCAGGGGCTACCTGAAGCGATTCGGCCACGATAACACAGACGAGTGTTCTTGGTGCGGCAGAGGAATCGTAGAGGACGCCAATCACATTATATTCAAGTGTGGACGTTTCTCAGCGAACAGGCAGGAACTGGAAGACAGCATGGGTAGACCTATCACGGTGGACAGCCTGGCTATGACCATGCTAGAGACCGCACAAAAATGGGAAGCAGCCAGCAGCTTCGCAGCAGAAGTAATGCTAGAACTCAGGAGAGTTGAGCGCCAGACGGAGAACGGAGGAAGTTTAGGTAGCAAGAACATGCCTGTGAAGCAATGCTTTGTGGCCGTTCCGCAGGCAATCCGCGCTATCTAACCAACATATATCCCCACTACACCTAAGCCTAATGTATACACTAAGCGTATAATAAACAGAATACAAAAAAAAAACACACACACACACACACACAGCCGTGTGGTAAGCGGCCCATAGAATACTACCACAGCTAGTCATTGCTTGTCGTATGAGGCGACTGAAATGACACGGGGATGTAATTGCCCGGAGAGGTGCCTCTAGCAGGCGAAAAGATTCTGAACTGCCATTAACCTGGAAATGGCCAGATCGATTCCGTTCCTGTGGCTAATTAAAGCAACTCGTGACCTCCGGTAGTGGCCAGGTATTCCCTGGATAGGCGCTGCACACCCGTGACGCGCCTAGCTAGACCCGAGAAGGCGACTAAGACTGAGACCAGTAACGTCTTAGGTTGCGAACACTGGACAACCCTATCGGACTAGC